TCGTTTCATCCTTCCCTTCTTCAGTTAGAGTTTTTAACTATTCCTTAAGCTTATATAAATAAGGCTCATTTTTGTTTTGTTTGTAAGTTAAGAATGTAAGAAACTGTAAAGAGAAAATAATTATTTGTTAGAGAGTATTTAACTGGAAAGAATAATAAAAACTTGACTATAGACTAGACAACAATAGAGGCCATAGACTAGACTATAGACTAGACTATAGACTAGACTTTAGACTAGACTATAGACTAGACTATAGACTAGACTATAGACTAGACTATAGACTAGACCTATAGACTAGACTATAGACTAGACTATAGACTAGACTATAGACTAGAACTATAGACTAGACTATAGACTAGGACTAGACTATAGACTACTATAGACTAGACTATAGACTAGACTATAGACTAGACTATAGACTAGACTATAGACTAGACTATAGACTAGACTATAGACTAGACTATAGACTAGACTATAGACTAGACTATATACTAGACTATAGACTAGACTATAGACTAGACTATAGACTAGGACTATGGACTTGACTATAGACTTGACTATAGACTAGACTATAGACTAGACTATAGACTAGACTATAGACTAGACTATAGACTAGACTATAGACTAGACTATAGACTAGACTATAGACTAGACTATAGACTAGCCTATAGACTAGACTATAGACTAGACTATAGACTAGACTATAGACTAGACTATAGACTAGACTATAGACTAGACTATAGACTAGACTATAGACTAGACTATAGACTAGACTATAGACTAGACTATAGACTAGACTATAGACTAGACTATAGACTAGACTAGACTAGACTATAGACTAAACTATAGACTAGACTATAGACTAGACTATAGACTAGACTATAACTAGACTATAGACTAGACCTATAGACGAGACTATAGACTAGACTATAGACTAGACTATAGACTAGACTATAGACTAGACTATAGACTAGACTATAGACTAGACTATAGACTAGACTATAGACTAGACTATAGACTAGAACTATAGACTAGACTATAGACTAGACTATAGACTAGACTATAGACTAGACTATAGACTAGACTATACTAGACTAGACTACTAGGACTAGACTATAGACTAGACTATAGACTAGACTATAGACTAGACTATAGACTAGACTATAGACTAGACTATAGACTAGACTATAGACTAGCTATAGACTAGACTATAGACTAGACTATAGACTAGACTATAGACTAGACTATAGACTAGACTATAGACTAGACTATAGACTAGACTATAGACTAGACTATAGACTAGACTATAGACTAGACTATAGACTAGACTATAGACTAGACTATAGACTAGACTATAGACTAGACTATAGACTAGACTATAGACTAGACTATAGACTAGACTATAGACTAGACTAGAGACTAGACTATAGACTAACTATAGACTAGACTATAGACTAGACTATAGACTAGACTATAGACTAGACTATAGACTAGACTATAGACTAGAACTATAGACTAGACTATAGACTAGACTATAGACTAGACTATAGACTAGACTATAGACTAGACTATAGACTAGACTATAGACTAGACTATAGACTAGACTATAGACTAGACTATAGACTAGACTATAGACTAGACTATAGACTAGACTATAGACTAGACTATAGACTAGACTATAGACTAGACTATAGACTAGACTATAGACTAGACTATAGACTAGACTATAGACTAGACTATAGACTAGACTATAGACTAGACTATAGAACTAGACTATAGACTAGACTATAGACTAGACTATAGACTAGACTATAGACTAGACTATAGACTAGACTATAGACTAGACTATAGACTAGACTATAGACTAGACTATAGACTAGACTATAGACTAGACTATAGATACTAGACTATAGACTAGACTATAGACTAGACTATAGACTAGACTATAGACTAGACTATAGACTAGACTATAGACTAGACTATAGACTAGACTATAGACTAGACTATAGACTAGACTATAGACTAGACTATAGACTAGACTATAGACTAGACTATAGACTAGACTATAGACTAGACTATAGACTAGACTATAGACTAGACTATAGACTAGACTATAGACTAGACTACATTATAGTTAAGTGTAGACTACATATCGACATTTATAAATTTTAGGAAAAGTGCTCCTTTCATACTTACTGCTTATTTACAAATCCTCTATAGCTCTACGATTTGGTGAAATCTTTTCGAACGATGTGTTACGCTGTAAAACCACATCAAATAGCTTAATATCACCCTGTATATAAATCGTATCAATTTTCTCAGGTCTACAGCGAAATTTGTATTCCGTCAAGAGCTCATGATTAACATAAATCTCAAATGAGTCATTTGAGCCATGAACAATAGATAAACTAAATGTTTTGCCTGGACGAAAAGTAGTCTCCATATCGGAGCGTTCCTCGGTGCCCCAATTACCATCAACCCATGAATTACGTATAACCGTAGTCTGACCAATGGGACCAACGCTCTGTTTACTAAAACGTGGATTTAAATGCAAAGCTATAGTTGGATGCGGCCAACAATCATGTCCGGACTGTAGATTTATATAGAAGGATTGAGGCAATAGCCGTACACGTCCCTCAATCTTAATGACATGACCCAAGAGAAATGAGTTTTTCGGTATAACACCATAATAGGGTAATTTCATTTCATCTTTGCGTAAAATATTCGGTTCATGGCAGATCTTATCTTTGACAACAACTTCACGCCATTGAGTGGCCTGTTGCTCTTCGTGATCCGTCAAATCAATTCCCTCCTCATCAGGATCATGACCAGCTCTTAGAGATTTGTGCAAACGTATAGATTTTGGTATAGATTCCGGTAAACGTTCCGGATAGTGGCTAACAATCATACGTTCTACGCTTACATCGTCTATATCACCCTTTACCTCCATAGTCTGTACACTCTTGTAGGGTAAACGATGATAGAATTTACAAAAATGATAACCATTCACGGAGATCATATAACACTCTTCGGTAAATAAAACTTGTATGGAAAATGGTGCACCACGCCTAAGACTGAATGGTAAGGCGGAGGCCACCTCCTCACGACCCCAAACATTACGAACTTTTGAATTGCGTACTATATAATTTTGAGGTAAACGTGGATTAATGTGTAAGGCTAAATCTCTGGTAGCATTTTCCACAATAAAATTTATAGAAAATCTGCAAAATAAAATTTTTTATATAAATCTCCTTTAAATTGTGATTTAAATTCAAATACCTCTCACAATGACGTTTAGTTCTACCCGTTACCGTAAAACTAACACCCTCGTGCAAATCACCCAAGGTTGGATTGTGATAAATGGCTTCATCTTCGGCCTCAAAATCTTGTAGGCGTTCCTGAAAGTATACAAACAAAATAGGAAATTATTATTTATTTCAGTAACGGAAATTTTAACAAATGTACTTCTAAATTCTTTCTTCCTTTGGGCCAACACATTAGTATTATAACTTTTATAATGCTACCAAACATACACAATATAATTTCAAAATTTTATTTTTTACTAAAATTTAGTTTGTTTTTCTTTAATTTTGAATTTTTCTTTGTCACTACCTGTTTCAGATTATTTACAACTGTCAATCCAATTATGCTCGTTTTCAAAATTAACATTTTTGGCCAATAAAAAATATTCATTATTTTAAAATTTAAATTTATATAATATTTTATAACTTATATAAATAATTTGAAAACTGTTATATTATTTAAAATATTTATTATACTAAATAATATAACAGTTTTTGCTACACTTATATACGACTCTGTGAAATACAACAATGGGATTGACGTTTGTGTAATACAGGGTTTCAAAGACAAAATTGTAAACTGAAATTTTGTGCTAAAAAATCGAAAACTTGTGGAGTTAGAGGTAATAGAACGATATTCTGACATATGAAACGAGCTTCACAGATTTGATGTTATTAACATTTATGAATTAATTGGCAATAAACTGGGGGTTTATAAAGGAAGTCGGGTAAATTATGTACCGTTCTCATAAAATTTTAGTTTTTATAAAATTATTTTGAATTTTCCTGCATCAGATCTTATTAAGCCAAGGGAATATGGGTAAAGGTTCATTATATACCTTTCCTTATAAAATTTAGATGAAATTGTGGACCGATATTATTAATTTTCAAATCCAAAGAAGCATTACCAATAGAGATTAATTGTGCAAAAGTTCAGCCCACTAGCTCCTCCTATGGTGATTTCAACAGACAGATGGACAGATAGTCGGACGGCATAGTTAGATCATCTTAGAATAAGGACCCAAAATTAAAATGTTTGGTAATCTTCAGATCATATCTGAGTCATCCTCGACAACAAACTCAATTCCCATGACAATTGGATCTTCGCTCTGAAACGATCCGATAAAGATTATAAACTCAGCAAAAGCTGTATCAACCGGACGTTCACAGCCAATTTATTACCAACAACAACAAACTCAACCACACTGCCGAAAAGGCCTCTTCATCACTTCTTTCTTCTCCATCAATAAGCCAAGACTTCGGTTCTTTGCATGTGCCCGATAGAAGGCCCACACACTCCTGAATCACTCTTCATTCTATTCTTTTGATAACACCACATTCCTATGTTCTTAATTCCCATTAAATATCTATTTTAATTTGAGGATTCGAGCTCTAATAGTTTCCCAGATATTTGAGTTTTTGTATTTAATTTATATAGGTTGCCACGCCCTCAATTTCTAGTCCATCCATTTTATTTCCAAAAGTTCATATGGATTTCAAAGTTATTAGATTTTTTGTATTTTATTCATATATGAGGTACCATTGCTTGTCCGGCCGTTTTTATCTTAAATATTCAAATTGATACTAAAGCGACTCCGACAAACGGAACTACTTAAAATACCTCTGAAGTTATATACATAGGTTAGGTTGATGGGAGGATGTACCTATGTACGTTAAATCCGAAGAAATACACCTAGTTTATAATTTAATGACAACGCAACGTTGTCAACATTGCAACAATTCGTTGGCGAAATCTAAATTTTATACACATCCTTCGTCTAAATATTAACAAACGTGGTAATCTCACTATTGGCAACGGATTGTTTGTCCATAGTGAGCTTACCACGTTTGTTAACATTTAGACAACGGATGTGTATAAAATTTAGATTTCGACAACGAATTGTTGCAATATTGTCAACATTACATAGTGTTCCCGTACGTATGTATATACTTTGACAACGGATGGTATTGAAAAATTATAAACAGTTTGGTGTCAATTTGGTACCATTGTATATTTCTTTTTCCCTCTGTGTACGAATGCCAGACAGTGGCGAAGAAAGTGCTCCAGAAGTTCACTGATATCGCCCTAAGTGCCTTCTGGCTGTCGATTAAATATGTTAAAACCTGTGATCGCCACATTTATTCTAATCCAATTTATGCATTCCGTTATTGCTCGGACTTCTGCCTGTAAGCTTGTGTTGTGATTAAGCAAACGGTAGTATATTTCTGTTTCTGGGTCTTCAATATTGAATCCCAGTCCCACATTGTCCCCTAATTTAGAGCTATCCGTGTAGCAACGGATTCCTGCTCTAATGTTTAGCTTGATCAAGACATTCTATCTATGATCAGCGTTTGAACGTTTCCGACATATTCTGTGTCTCTTAAGCGATCAGGTACGTCCCATGATTGTCTATAGCCTTCCAATGTATCCAGTACATTGATGACGTGTCCTTTAACCGCTTTTAGCCAGTTCGCCTTCAGTTATGAGCCATTCCGCTGTAAGTGTCGCCTCATATATTAAATATATATCAATGGCTCGAATATCTAGCAACGTTTCCAGAGCCTTGGCTCCACTTATACTTAAGCAGCATACACGCTGTACTCCCTGTGGTAGTTTGATATTACACTTTTTGTCCAAAAAGTGTCCACCAGATTATTGAAGCATAAGCTAGTCATAGTAGGACTTATACCCCTTTTCATGCCTACATATCGCCCAACACCAATATGCCTTGTTGATCCTATCCTCTATGTGGTGTCTCCATATTAATGTCCGATCAAGCTATCTTCTTGCCCAGGAAACGGGGTTCAGTATTCGTAGAAATTTTTGTCTTCCTTGTGAAATGACAGATTTCTCTCTTCGCCGGTTTGAGCCCACTCGAGACCTAATTCAGAGCTTCCTTAGCTCTTCTACACATGTAATTTGGTTCTTTTACGACATCATCTGCATAGCAGACAGATCTAAATTCTTCCTCGCTTATGGTCCTTAGGTGGTTATTAGTAGTGGTTACCCAGAGTAACGGGGACAAAATTTCACCTTGTGGTGTACCGCATAGAGCCTCCTCAGGACTTCTACACAAGTAATTTGGATCCTTTACGACATCATCTGCATAGTTGGCAGATCTAAGTCCTTTCTCGATAATGTTCCTTAGGAGGTTATTAATAGAAATTAATAACCTCAGAGCCACCTTGTAGTGTACAGCACTAAAGTTACTTTCGAACTTAATTTTAATAAAATGCCACGCCCATTTTACGCCCACATTTTAAAACAAAAGAACATTTAACATTGGATAAAACAATTTAAGTCAAATGAACAGCTAATAATTAAGGAAAAAGATAAATTAAAAAAACTAATGTTGCAAAATAGAACAAAAATACACACAAAAGTCTGGGAACACCTAATCAACTTAATTATGTATAATTAATATAATTGCTTATCTCTAACAGTAGCTGATACAAATATACACAGGGTCTTCCCCTATAATAAACTTTAACTTTATTAATAGATATTATTACAATTTAACTCAATTATTATACACTTATTAAGTCTATAACAAAAAAATATATATATAATAATAATTTTTCTTAAAGGCAATTTGTTTTTGTTTACAAAAATTACTCATCTCATAGCTACACGTACTAATAGTATCTGCAACAATTCGTCATTTTAAGTTCCACATACTCATTACTTACGATTACTGCCATTCAAAGTAAAATAAAATAAAAGTAAACAAAAGAAAGTAAAAAGAAAAAACTGGCTGAAACATAAAACCTTGAACAATGTAAAGAAATATATTAAAGAAATTAAATTCTACTACGTAAAATCTATTTTCATCTGTTTGACTTTATATTATGTTGCCATGAGAAAATGCCACTTTAAGTCCTTGAATCCTAGAGTAAGTAAAATTAAGTATAATCAATGATTATAAAATATAATGAACAAACAAATTATTTTTGCAACTGTATATCATGTCAAAGTGATCCATTAATATTAAGTTGTTGGAGTGGAAAAATTGATCAAGTATAAAATTGAACAAGTAAGAGTGTTATATTCAGCTATGCCGAATCTTATATACCCACCATCAAACCTCGTTTGACTCGAATGAAACTTACTTATGTCGAATTTCATCTATATACTCGTATTTTTAGGCCAGTTATAAGCGTTAAAGTAATTTTCTGAAGGGGACCTTATATTATGGGTCGATTATAATTATGGGTCGATCCTCATAAAAGTTTTTAGATAGATTTTGACTCGTATGAAACTTACTTATGTCGAATTTCATCTATATACTAGTATTTTTAAGGCAGTAATGAGCGATAAAGTCATTTTTTGAAGGGGACCTTATATGGGGGGTAGGGTCAATTATGGACCGATCCTCATAAAATTTTGCATAGTGATTTTGGATGATTAGAAACTTACTTATGTCGAATTTCATCGCTATATTCGTATTTTTAAGCAAGTTATGGCTGTTAAAGCTGATTTTCGAGGCGCCACTTGTATGGGGGCTATCCCATTTTCAATACCAAACAAACCTTACCTATAAGAAATATTTGTGTGAAATTTCAATCCTCTAGCTCTTTCCATTCGGACTCTATCGTGCTTTCAACAGACAGACAGACAGACAGACGGACGGACGGACAGACATGGCTAGATCGTCTTAGAATTTAATGAGGACCAAGAATATATATACTTTTGTGGGTGTATGACCAATATTTCGATGTGTTACAAACGGAATGACAAAATCAATATACCCCCCATCTTTTTCGATGGTGGGTATAAAAAAAATTAACAATGTTAAATTTTAAATACTCTACAAAGTAGAAATTTGCTCTCCATCAAATTTCTTAAATTAACAAATGCCCTCATACACTTAAGTTATCACCTACTTGTGTGTAGGGTACACCTAAGTAGGAATGTTTTCATGATTAATTTCATGTTGTTGATAAACTACATATTTAATTATTATTTTCTTTATATTTTTGCTAATTATTTGATTTAATTCTTATCAAAATACATCAATTTTGATGAGGTATCAGGTGTACTACACGTTAAACAGTCAACCGTTTAACGTTTTAATAAAACTTTTAAAAGAAAAGAC